AGATTGATGAATTTAAAAGAATTTGAAAACACATTTATTTTCTTTATAAATAATATCTATATATTTGAAATGGTTAAACCATTTATTTATTTTATTATTTTTCTGTTATGGAGAGCGCTTTTGGGAAATTTTTGTTTTATTTAAGCGTTTTATAAATTTACGATAATAGTACTAATTATATATTTATTATAATTATATATGAGTCGTGCGCAAAGATGAGTTTTAGCCTAATTTTTAAACTTTCGAAGTGTGATCCCGACTTGTGGTAAGTTGTTCTATCCTGTTGGCACCATGAACCATGAAGCAAATTATACCGGAACTCCGTAAATGCAAACATTTTGCACCGACCAACCAAGGAACAGAGTTGATAGCAAGTTATTTTCAAAAATTTATAAATTTGCGGTTAAAGAAGAGCAACTTTGTGAAGATTTTATTAACTATAAATTTTTAGTTAAACTAATATAACCGCATAATTTATATAAATTCATGAAGTTTGGACCATTATTTTTGCATTTTTAAAGAGCCCTTGTTGATGATGTTATTTATTCCTCATATGGCATCTATTTGATTTTCATACAACCAACGAAATGCCTCTGGACGGATTTGATTGAAAAAGTATAGTTTAAAAATTTGTAATTTCGAAGAATTTATACTCATTTATTTAAATAGTTGTAAAGGCAAAGGGTTAATGAAAAGTAAAATCATTTCAACTTGCAAAATTTTGAAAAATAAACTTAGATGTTTTAGCAACTTTGTTGTAAGAGTTTGAGGCAAGCTTCAATATTTTGCGAATTGATTCTTCATGTTTGAATTTATTTGTTATTAAATAATGAGACAGGAATAATAAAATAATGAAACTCGTTTTATTGTAAAATAATCACATAAACGAAATGTCAAAGTTTAATTTGAAATCATTATTTTTTGAAAGCATTGATTAGTGGCATAAAATTTTAATTAAGCTGGTCCGTTGTTGACAGAGCTGCATTATAAAGAATACAAAGATAAGTTGGTTTGATGTAATAAGACTTTATAGTGTATAAAAAACGCTCAATATATACTGTTAAAAAAGTGTGAATTTTAATAATTGAAACTCTTCCAATAACTTTAGTTACACCGACTGTAACCCTGTTATTTGAAAATCTCAACTACTTTTTATGAATACGTATTCTTCACATTCATTAGAACGATGAATGATGATTGAATGAACGATGTTATTTGTGCTTAACATACTTTAACTTTCCCAAACACCAAACGTGTTTGCATATTATTTAAAAATGAAGTTAATTTTATATTTAATTCTTCAGATTTAGATTTATTTGTTATTAGATAATCAAACAGAATAATGAAACTCAATTTATTGCGGAATAATCACATTAAAAAAATGTCAAAATTTCAAAATTTAGTAATTTGAAATCATTATTTTTGAAATGTTCTGTAAGCGTATATTAGACATGAACGCACGTGTAGGCTTCAGAACTCCAGACAGTTCCAGGAGCACATTCCATGACGAAACAACATCCATGTTCAGCACATTGAACAAATTTGGAGTCGCTAGCGTCGTAGGCTAAGTAGTACTGGCCAAGATCTCTGAAGGCTTAAGTGCATGGACAGTTGCTGTTGCAGTTGTACTTGCCGGCATCTGCTGCAACAATTTCAACGGCTTTGTCTTTGGAATCTGCTGTTTATGTCAAAAATATGTCGCTGATAATCCGAATAAACAGAAATTGATATGTTTTTTAAACCTACAAGGTTCAGTGCTAGTATTCATATCTAGAAAAAATTTATGAACCGTAAAAAGTTATATCGATGTTAAACCGTAATCTCACCAAGGACGGACGTGTAAATGTTTGTACTCCAGACAGTTTCATTGGCACATTGCATGACGCTGCAACCTCCGGTCTGATCACATTGAATGAATTGGGTATCGTCTGCATCGTAGGCGAAGTAATACTGACCCTGATCTCTGAATTCTTTGGTGCATGGGATGTTGTTGTCGCAGTTGAACTTATTTTCATCCCAAGAATGTCCTGGGTCAAATATAAAAGTTTAAGGTAAAATTCAAAGCTTTTTTGTATCATATTTTGTTGTTGCAACAGTTTAAATTGTGGTACAATGATTGCGAACGTTTTTATTTAGACATAATACAATATGCACCCGATAACTTACGAAACATGTGAACGTTTGACATGATAATAAATATAAACAAAACTTATGAATTGTTTGATCATACAAGGAAGTAGCAGACAGAAGACAGTAAGTTCTCACCATTTGGAACAAAGCCCAAAAGAGCCACGATCACAATCGCATTCAACATCGTTGCAGTTTTGAAACTTTAGTTAAAAAATTTAATTTAACTAACTCTCTCTTGCTAGTGAAATTAAATCACCTCAATCACCTATATATATATATATATATATATATATATATATATATATATATATATATATGTTGGTAATAGACCATAATTTTTACAATATTCTATAAATTCTACCGAGTGTGTGGCGTTAATATGTGTGTAGTGCGTTTTTTCGATTTTTCTCACTAACGAACTACAAACATATTAATGCCCAACATTCGGTAGAATTTATAGAATATTGTAAAAATATATATATATATATATATATATATCAATATACATATATATATATATATATATATATATATATACATATATATATATATATATATATGGTTCACTGTTTTCTAACATCTATACATACATATGTATTTGTATTTCTAACATGTATTTGTATTTCTAACATGTATTTGTATTTCTAACATCTATACATACATATGTATTTCATATAATATAGTGAAGAACTTTATTGTATTGAATTTAAAAAGAAAGTTTTTTCCAGAGTTGATTAATTATTTTACCAAGCAAAGACAAGGCCTGCGTGCTTTTGTGTCGCTTTTTTGTTCATCTGTTGAAATCGATGTATCATTTGAACAATTTAGTAACATGTTTTCCACTTTTTCATTTCGTGTTTTTGTAAATTGTAATTAATTTGCTTTGTTTAACAGATTTTTATTCGATTGATTGAACGTTGTGTTGTGATATTTCAATGAAAATGTGTCTTTTCAATAATTCATCTAATTTTTAACAGTGTTTTTTCATGTGTGTTAAACTTCTCAACAGTTTTACTTGTTCATACATGTTTTTTTTATAAAATTTCAGCACGTAATTTAAGCCACAAAACTAAAATTTTTAATTAAAAGCAGTGCAAATATTCAACATTCAAAAACAAAATTAATACATAGCACACGCATACAACTCAATTAACATATTATATAAATACACAACACTCGATCATATCTCATTCATCAATTATGTTTCATTCATTCCTGGATTAATTTTTTATCATTTAGTTGTTTATTTGTTTTTATTTTATTTCAGAATTAATTGAACTTTATTCAAGTTGTTTATTTCTGTTCAATCTTTCTAAAGTTTTCCAGCGATTATTTTTCGTGTCTCCCTGCAATCATGCTTTTGCTGAACAAACACCTCACTGGATCGAATTGAATTTTTCAAATATTCATTCATTTATTAATAATTCGTTCATTTGTTTATCTCTTAGTTTAATCAAAATAACAATTATTGATAAAAAGCAAAAACTACATTTTATATTTTTTCACACATAAGAAACTATAGCAAAACCGTAGCTCGGTCTTGGATGTTTGATGCATAGGCCCTAACTCTACCTCAAAAAATTGTTTGCATTATTGTAACGAAGGCCCTTTTTAAATGAACGGTCGAAGATAATTGGTTGTGCTGTGACAAATTTGTAGAAATTGCTAAAAGCCTGCCATGCAAAAGGATCAAAAACAGTTTGGTAAAATTCAACTCCAGCGTTAAAATATTTTAGCAGCATGTGTTAGTTTCATTGAATTCGTAAGCGTTAGAGGTGCTTGTTGTTCAGTTGCTATTGTAAAAAAATTGAATTTAAAATTTTTGATTGATTTTCAGTAATTTAATTTTCATACACTCAACCAGATTATTATGATTTATTTTTCTAAAATTTATTGATTATTTGTTGGTGTGTGATGTTATAGCTCCCTACTGCCACACTTTCAATTAAAGATTCAAATACCGTTATTCATAACACAACCAATTGTAAGATTTTTTCACGTAAAAATTTTTATTTTAAAATAAATTTGTTTCTTTGAAATCAGACATTAACATTAAAAACAAATCAAAAACATGAAATGTAAAAAAAGTTTTGATCATGGAGCCCAGAAATTTAACAATCAAATAACATTTGAATAAAAAATTATAATTATTGATCTGTTTGAAATTTCAGGATCAATTTTAAAGCCAAGAAACGTTCATTTATTGAAAAAAATTAAACGAATACAAATCTAAAAAAAACGAGCAATTTTAAAACGTTGGTCTCATTTAATATATGGCAACATTGAGAAAAGATGAGAATGCGTTAAAACTATCAGCAGCATTGAACAAGCCACTTGGTGAATTATTAGCACTCTCTATATTTTACTTTCTGTCAACAGTTCATCTACGAACGCATTTATAAGCTGCAGAATCCCATACAGTTCCAAGCCAGCAAGGCATGATATAACAACCTCCCCACTTATCACATCGAATGTATATGTATTTGCTGGCCTCATGAGCAAAATAGTACTGGCCACGATCTCTGAAGTCTTGAGTGCATGGTTTTTTGTTGTAGCAGTTGTACTTGCCAAGATCTGGAACGAACTTTGTGGTTGTGGTTGTTGTTGCTTCAGTGGTAACTTCATCAGCATCGGAGTCTCCTGTGTCAATTTTTTTGCAGACGTTAAATATTAATGATTATTATATTGTTCATTCAATTTTCAAATATTTTTTCACGGTTAGGTCGCTAGTCTTTTAAGGATTGAATTAAAATAACATAATATTTTGTAAACACTCAACGTTATCATAAAATTTATAATTCTACAAAAGTTTAATCCAATTTTATTATTTAAAAAAACTTTTGAATAAAATGATTTTTAATAAAATATAACCATGAATGCACGTGTAGGCTTCAGAACTCCAGACAGTCCCAGGAGCACATGGCATGACGAAACAACCTCCCCACTCATTACATTGAACAAATTTGGAGTTGCTGGCATCATAAGCAAAGTAGTACTGGCCACGATCTCTGAAGTATTGGGTGCATGGTTTGTTTCTGTCACAGTTGTACTTGCCAAGATCTGGAAAAAATTTGGTAGTTGTTGTCGTAGTCGTCGTTGTGGTAACTTCATTGGAGTCAGCGTTCCCTGTGTAAGTTTTATAAGATCAATAAAGTGCTTATTATTGGTTATTCTCTTTAAACTTTTTCATATTTACTAATCTTTAAAATTTAATCTAACCCCAAATGCACGTGTAGGCTTCAGAACTCCAGACAGTCCCAGGAGCACATGGCATGACGAAACAACCTCCCCACTCATCACATTGAACGAATTTGGAGTTGCTGGCATCATAAGCAAAATAGTACTGGCCACGATCTCTAAAGTATTGAGTGCATGGTTTTTTGTTGAGACAGTTATATTTTCCTTGATCTGGAACAAATTTAGTTGTTGTTGTTGCTGCTGTAGTCGTAGTGGTAACTCTGTTGTTGTCTGAGTTTCCTGTTGATTAATATTTCAAAACAAGCGTTTTAAAACAAGAAAAAATGTTTATATGATCAAGTTGTTTTACAGTTTAAATTATCGAAGCCCAATTTTATTTGAAATCTGAAATAGTTGCCTAATTCACACATTGTACAACTCATTATTTGAAAGTTGCTGATTTGCTTTTTCAATTTGTTTAACAATAACCGACATAAAAATCAATATTAACCATGAACACACGTGTAGGCTTCAGAACTCCAGACAGTTCCAAGAGCACATGGCATGACGAAACAACCTCCCCACTCATCACATTGAACAAATTTGGAGTCGCTGGCATCATAAGCAAAGTAGTACTGGCCACAATCTCTGAAGTATTGGGTGCATGGTTTATTTCTGTTGCAGTTGTACTTGTCAAGAGAACGTTCAGTGCGGCCTGTGTAAAAAAATCACCTTCTTATATTTTAGGTTTCTTACTTTCAACCTTGTCATATTTACACACTGATATTTGAAGAATACAAAGATTTAGAAATTAACAAAAATAAAATTTTATTCTAAGCCTGTACAAGTTGCACAGTATTTTATGATTTTACACAATTTTTAAAATAAAAATGCTAGATAAATTACCGAATTCAATCAAGCTCAACGCTGTGACGAACCATAGGACTTTGAATGTCATGTTACTTTCACTTCTTGAGCACTGTTCAGTTAACTGATTTAAAAACAATATTGTTTAATATTTAAAAAAATTTAAACTTTTAAAACAACTTTAAAAGTTTTTTTTACCTTTGCCTAACTTATAAAATTATTCCTCTAGTAAAAATGGTAAAAATACTTTCCGACTATTTTTACATTAAGACTGAGTTGCGTTGTCTTCAGTTAAGATGTCAGTGTATTTATAAGATTTCATGAGTTTGTATAATCAGATAAATAGGATGATGAATAGCTAAGAGACATACTTAAGTGTTAATATATTCATCACTTAGTGGTAAGCATTGGCACGATGTGGTACGATATAACATTCTCATTTGAATTCTTTCTTCAATTGGGTGTGCGTGGGTTTTATAACAGGCAGTTTATTATCAACTACAAATTTTTATTTTTAATCTTCTTGCGTCATCTCGTAAGAGGAATTATAAACTTTAATTGAATAAAATTTTTTTAGCATTAATAATATCAAACGTAGTTTGAATTAGTTTGGTTTTGAAAAATTGAGTTATGTCATCTATATTCGACATTATTTTTCTGATGGGAAATCAGAAAAAGAAAATCGATGAAAATTTTAGAAAGTTTTGAAATTACCTTTTTTTCAAGAGATTAAATAATATTAGGGAAAACTATAGTTCCTGGAATGTTATTTCATGGTTTATCTTATCTTGATTTGATGGTAGGTCCAATGAAGGCACCTTTGACAGTTTATGACCAAGAGAGAAATGTGATGTAGGGCTACCTGTGATGAAACTTCATTGCGTTTTGAAGTTTTACAAAATTTTGAGAATACCGTGACAAAATATGAAAAAAAGTACATTCAATTTATTATTAACATAGCTATCCAACAAAAAATTGTTTTTTAAAAGTGTTAGTTTTTTTTATAATGAAGTGAAATGAAATGAAAACTACAGATTGATAAAGACCACAATAATTGAGGGTACGATTAAAATGGCTCCGAAAAGATTGCTCAAGCAATGTCTGCAGATAATTACATCCATAAAATTTAAAAAAATTAGTTAGTTTTTATTTTAGTTTGAAACTTAAAAATATTAATAAATAATTACATTTCAGTTTAAATCAAGGATTAATAAATAATTGCACTTCAGTTTAAAAGGTAGTCGTAGTGGAAGATCAGAAATCAGGGCCATGTAATAAAATACCGCGTTGAAATCCAATTCACCGATTCATCGCCACATCAGACATGGCGAGATTTCAAATTAAAAAACTTGAACCAACTCTTATCACTCAACAACCCTCAAACCAACGATAACAATAAAAAATATTAAGATTTTGGTTATTTAGTACTAGTCCGTTACTAATACTACAATTTGAATTATAGGTTGGTACTTAAAATTTTTAATATGGCGGATTTTTTGTTCCACGTTTTTATTTAATCTCAGCAAATATGTAATTAAATTATTATCGCAAAATAAATATTTAACACTGGCACTTTGATCTGTATATGCAACAACATTTATAAAAAAAGGTTTAGTTTTTTAGACAACCATTGCCAAAAAGACCTTCCCCGCTTACTTCTTCAAATGTTGGCTGTTACGAAATTCAAAACTTTGCTACGGTGTAATATTGCATCAGGTAGTGAAAGGTTATGAGTTAAGGTTTGGGTTGCATTACATGAATTGATGCTTGCATTCATTATGCTATATGAACAAATTTACTGAGCGACTGACTGACAGGCTTATTTGTTGGTTGCGAGCTAATTTTGTAAGGACGAATTGCGGCGTGAACGTCGAAGTGTTTGAATTGAAAATGATTGATCTAATTTATGAATGCCAGTGAGGAGGGATTTGTAGAAAACCGAGCCTAATGCCTTTTAACAACAACGCGGCTCACAACGGGGATGACCACCCCTGCCTCCCCCCCTCTAGATCCACCACTAAAGTCGCGTTGTATCCAACAAATACTTTTAAAACTTTGAAAAAGAACTTCAATTGTAATTTCTAAAGTATAAGTTATACCCGGCACATTTGAACTGCTGGAAATAAATGTCGAATGTTATTTGAAAGATTGTTCGAGGCATTTACAAAAATGTATGCAGAAGAGGAATAGAAAATGTTAGCCAATTGCCAATTCGAAATGTAATTTCTTCTTTTATTAGCTGATTAATAGCGTAACGATTAGATTAAAAAAATTTTTGATAAGCGTGCGTGCATCCGTAGGAAGAAATAAAGGTGCAAACACGTGCAATGATTCAAGGTTCACGCATATGAACATTCAAGTATGAACAAACAAGGCACTTTCCTAAACGTTTCTTCGCAGTTTTATTTAATTTGAAACAACAGGATCGTAAAACTTTAATGTTGCAGCTCATAAAATATGGACAGCCATAAAACCAAACGGGACAGAACTAACCGATACGTCATTAAATAATTTTACTACTTATAAATTTGGATATATGTAATATTTTTATTTATATCCATGCTTATAAACATTAACGCCGAAAATATGCAGATCAAATAGTTTCAAGTACCTATAACAAGTGACCACTTACACTCAAAATTTATTACACAATAATAAACTGCCACCGTTCGATCGACCTGTTTGTTATTCATTTCACCAAACTTTTGCGCAATATTCCTCAATTAAATGTCACCAAATATCTTAAGCCACGTAGAGAACCCGGTCTATAATGAAATTTAAATGCTATAGTTCAATTCTAGGCGCATAAAAATGTTGTTCATTATTTTTATTAAATTTAATAACATCCCAATGCAATAACCCACAGACGAACGAGTGAACTCTAGTGTACGTGAAATAAAATAAAAGTACATGTGTGTTTTGTATGCAGTCGATTAATGTGTATTATATATTGTAATTATTATATGGAAATATACGGCCAGGTTGTGGCTGGCTCAAATTCAATCATGTTGCACCGCTTTTAAGTCGTCTTCAATAGTTGAACGTTGAAAAAAGAATAGTTTTAAAAATATATTTTGATATTCAGAGCAATAAATAAAAACTTACCCAAAATGTTGGATTGAAAGATTCAATCAAAATTTGATGGTTTCAACTGGAATTCGTTTAAAGGGGGTGGCTGAAATTTGAAGCAGTGGCGGGGCAAGGGGGAGGCCAATCCTCGGACAGTTGCCTTTTAAAAGGACCCATTTTCAAGAAACCCTTCAATAAAAACTTTATAAAAAATTCAAATAGAAGTTTTGAATAACAATAAATAGTTAAATAAAATAGAAACTAATTGACGTTGCTCTTATTATAAATTTGTCATGCGCACTCAAAAAAGAGTTCGTTAAAAAAATTTAAGCTAACATTAATAAGGGTTTTGAAAACTGTGAAAAATTGTAGAAATGAATTCATGCTTATTTGTATAAGGGTGCCAAGATATTGAAATCTCATTGGAAAGGTGCAAATGAGGAATTTACCGAAGGATAATTTTTATCCTGCTTACGCCATCTGATTGGACGGCTATTAATAAATTAGAGTTTATGATTGGGACTAGGAATATTCCTCTGCCTGGCTAGACCATCCATGTGGAATGCCTTGCCAAAACTATAGAGATGTAAATATTTCCGTCTGATTTTTAAAGAAGTTTATGAGAACGTTTTGGATAAATTTTAAAATAAGGCTAACACTGTTTTCCTAATTTGTGATATTATGTTGTAATAAGTAGTACCTAGTAGTAGTAGTAGTAGTAGTAGTAGTAGTAGTAGTAGTAGTAGTAGTAGTAGTAGTAGTACTAGTAGTAGTAGTAGTAGTAGTAGTAGTAGTAGTAGTATAATAGTAGTAGTAGTTGTTGTTGTAGTATAATAGTAGTAGTAGTAGCATAATAGTAGTAGTAGTAGTAGCATAATAGTAGTAGTAGTAGTAGTAGTTAGAGCAACAGCAGCAGTAATAGTAGCAGTAGTAGCGGTAGTTGAAGTAGTATTTTCTCGTCTTGCTTTGCGAACAATCGTAATGTGATTTTTTTAACCTAAGCGATGTCAATAATACTCAGCTGAAGAATCCATGTTGTTGCAGCAAATTATAGCACTAATATTCTACAATCTTAACAATTATACTGTAGTTGCTGTATTAATGAATTATATACATATTAAAAGTGTAGGAAATTTTTAAAACGTTATAAATCTGTATTAAAGTTTGTATGTTATGCAAAATTGTGCTCGGAGTTAAATATGAAATAAGTGAATGATTGAATGCCAACTGGAGATATTAATACTAATAATACAAATAATTAATAGTGAGCAAATTATTAATCAAAATAATTATTTAAAATTATTACTTAGAATATTTACTTAAAATTATTAAAACAACAATGGTTAAAATTTCGTTCATGGGCAATCAGTTGTTTGGGTTGGATAATATGGGATAAAAAGTCCCAAAGAAGAAATTACCAACGCGTGTAATTTACTTCAACAAACAATGACATTCATTTGCTGTCATGCTTCCTAAGAATTTATTTTTAATTACTCTTCATTCCTGTATATATAAACAATGTGTCGGTTTGTTCTTACAGCAATTTGAACTTCTCATTCATCGGAACGGAATTTTGGAAAGGTTTGGCTTCTAAAATATTCAACATTAATTTTTGATCGAAACATTATTTACATATCATTTACTAGCTATTGATATTTTAATACATTCTTACATTTGATTATATTGTTTTATTATATAATTAATATTTCATCATATTACATATTATATTATTATTTTAAATATTTGAACTTAATGTTTTAAAGATTTTCAATGATGAAAAAGAACTTGTCGGTATTTGCTTTAATAGTTGCATTGGTCTGCGTTGACTTTGGTAAGCACAGACAATGTTTTTACTAACTTCATTTTTTTACTAATTTTTTTGTTGAAATTTTTGATTATTCAGTTTACTTAAAAGCAAATTCATTTTAAGATTTTAAGAAGTAAATTATTTGATACAATAGTAGTGACAATCGTAATTTTAATCTTCTTCTTGCTCTTGACTTTTCCTCTGCTTTTGATACTGTTGATCATACTATTCTCTTGAGGCTGCTAGATCTTTCTTTTAATATTACTGATTCTTGTCTATCTTAGTTTTCTTTTTATCTTTGTAATCGTTTTTCTTCTGTTGTTCTTAATACTTCTACATTTAACTCCTCTACTCTTACTTTTGGGTACCTCAGGGTTCTATCCTTGGCCCTCTTCAATTTATACTCTTTACGTCTGAACTACCTCGTATTATTAGTATTTTTTCCTTCACTAGTCAACTATTTACGGAAGATTCTTATATTCTTCTTTTCCTCCATCTAATCTCAAAAGTGTTTTTCATAATCTATCTTTATGTCTTTCTTCAATTATCGTTTGGTTTGAATTAATATGTTTTAATAAATCTAAACGCCCTATTACTATTCGTTCTATTATATTACTTGATTTTTAAACTCTTGATGTTTTTCACAAGTTTCGTAGTGTAGGCTTTATTTTTGATTCTAACATGTCTCTTTCTACTCAGATTAAATGTGTTGTTAGAAGTTCTCACTTTCATCTACGTAGAATAAATACTTTTGCCTTTTCTTGACCATCCTACTAATCTCCTTCTTGTTACTTCTTTAGTCTTATCTAGGATTGATTATTGTAACTCGCTCTACTATGGTCTTCCTGATTCTACACTCTATCCTTTAAATAAAACTTGCTCGTGCCCCTTTCTTTTCTAATATATTTCTATATCTTGTTCTTTTGCACTGGCTACTTATAAAATATAGAATAGTTTTTAAAATTTGCACATTTATGGATAAATCTCATTCTAAATTATTTTTTAATTACTAATCAGATATAATAATTGAACCTAAACGCGCCGGCTTACGAAAGTCTTCTTGTTCTCACTTCTTCTTAACTCGAGTTAAGCACTCTTTTTCTGGCTCTTTTTTCTGGAACTCTCTACCTCTTTCTCTGACTACTTCTCCGTCACTTACGATGTTCAGAGCAGATCTCTAAACCCATCTGTTTGCGAAATTCATTGAGGAGCGCTTTTGAACATTGCTGAAATAGCGCTTTATAAAATAATTGATTCATTGATTGATTGATACACATAAATTATTAAATACATACACATGAAGTCTAAGTCAAATAATCACAACACAATAATTTTACAAATAACTTATTATGAGTAGGAACATTCAAATTGTACTTGTGAATGCTGTTCTTCATTATACTTACTCGAAAGCATAACCACAAACGATATCTTTCCACATTTATCTCATTTAGGACACACTTGGAGCCTGGGAAAGTTCAACTGTGTCGACAACATAGCATGCGTTCCTTACTACAGAGAACGTTACCAATATTTTTTCGCTTCCGACAGCAGCAGTTCTGATTATATTCGGTGTGGAACTACTGATTACTCGTGTCAAGTCATGTCATGCTCCGCTAGCACTGCTTGGAGTTCTCTGATGTACGCATGCGTCTATGCCTGAATTATTGCTACTGCCACTTTTTTATTTTAAAAACTGTTTTTCAAGTGGTAATTGTCAAAAAAGATTTTTATTTATAAATTATTTTAATAAAATTTTCAAATGAAAAAATCGTGGGTTTATATCATGAAGATTAACTAGTAGCGAGATCACGAGAACGAATCTGACGTTAAAAAAATGAGGCAAAGTCTCGAACATGTGAATTATGTTGTCTAAAAAACGAACAAAAATGCAAAGCTATTAATTTTATCATGTTAAATGGAATTTGTTTTTAAACAGCAATGCGTAGGTAATATATACAGTAGACAGCCACCTTAAAAATTTCACGTAACTTTCCTAAATATTTTTTTTCCAAATAAAACACAATTGTCAACTCGCACGTGAACTGACGCGCATTCTCAAATTATACTAACATTTTTTCATTTTATTTTAGATCTCACCGAGATAAATGCTTTCTTCATTGAAATGCAAAATTGAATTTTGAATTCATCTCAAAAGAAAATTATGTAGAGAAAATCTTATCGCTTATGTAATTTAAAAAAATCATCTTTTGATACATTTACGTAATTTTACGATTTATTCTAAGTGGGGCTCCAGTAGACCAAAGTCCAACCTAGGCAATTTTCCTAGTTTGGCAACTATAAGTTTAACAGTAAGCTTAAACACCTCAAATTTGTTTAAGTGTCATCTGAAAACAAACTTAACAGTTTTTTATCGTTTAACAAAACCGCTATGATACATCACTTCAAAACGTACACAATGAAAAAAGCAGCAATGACTACAGCAGGAAGCACTTCACTGTTCAAACACATGAACATTTTAAACTGTTTGTTCTTTGAAACGGTTGCCGGCGCTGTTTGCTTGATTTATAGATATCTTGATGGCAAATTTTTAAATTTTTAGAAATTTTTAAAAAATAAATTGATTTCCCATGTATTATTATCGGCTTTATTTTTGTCTTAAGTTACAAAACGCACTCACATGAACCGATCAGTGTATTATTTCAGATGTATTAGTGTCACCCCGGCAATTAAGTTTCAATTTTTAAGTTCAGTCGTATCAATTAAGTCTTCGGGACAAGATTTGAAAATGGTAACAATCATTGGAAGACTTGGTCCACCGAATATCACTCTATATATAAGTTAATTCAGTGTAGCACTGCGATGAAAAACTGGAGAACTGTCTTTCAGTTTATTTCATAAAATATATAAAATCAAAAATGGTATTGAAAATTGCCTGTAACATTGTAATAACTCTGCTGCTAACAAGTAGGTGATGCGGTTTTTGTTACATATTAACATTTAATTTTCTAAAATTGATTATTATTTGATATCGTTAAAGACATCAAACTATAAATAACATAACATTTGATCACATGGATCAGTGATGGCTACCGGTCGTTGGCTTTATAAAACATATTCAACAGTCATTTCCCGTTACAACTGTTCAAACTAATAGTTCACTAATCACATTTATAAAAATTCAGTACTTTTTTTAGGATTTTCTCAGGTTTTTCTTACAGTTTTTCTCATAGTTATCCAATCATCTTTGGGTGTGGCCGCAAAATCCAATGAAACATTTCCAGCAGGTCCTGTGACAGTGTCACGCAGCAGTTGTTTCAAAGCAGTTGTCAGTGGCAACAGTAAGGTGGTCTGCCGCTTCGATACACCGGGAGTACTTAATGACATCATCAGAGCTACAATTTTGTTTCTTTTCAACCAGGATAACCAGAGCAGTAGTAATTATGAAACAGTTCCAACAAATTCAAATATTTCGACGTATCTCAACAGTACGATCCATGAAAACAATACTGCAAATTTTTTATTAAGAGACATTTTTAACGTGTTTAATAGGAATTCGATCATCACTAAAATGATCCACGCAAAGTTGGCCTTTAATGACGCAAGCACAAACTTGACTAGCTTAAATGACGTTAACATTGCAATCACATCCTCACATGAGAAAGTTAGATCTGCATACGCTCATGTACTTTCAACAATTTTTCAATCTCCAACATCTGAGAATAACTCCAACTGCAACCGTGACGAGACATGTAGCTTGCTGGCATTCTGTGCCCTGATCTGCAACTCAGTGACAAACAACATGTGTAAAGGATTCAACGTCTTCAAGATTGAAAACAATTCAACTACTCGCAACACTCCTAATGACGCCATTAAAACGTTGATGAAAAATAACGCTGGCAGATGCATGTGGTGGGGAAATATAAATGCTTATTCCAAAATTTTGATGCCTTCTACCGTCTCCAGATCATGTTTATATTACGAGGTTTTTGATTTTTTTTTCTGACGAGATTTTTGATAACGTCTGGTAATAATTATTTCCCGAATGTATTATTACGGACGAAGGTATTTTATTCTATAATACAAAATCAATTGATAAATGAACAATATGAGACCAGCTGCTCAATACAAAGTGTCAAAATCTCATACGTATTATCTATCAGTCAGAAGAATCACATACAAACAATTATACTTATCCCTAAGTTTAATGAATTCAATTTTTAGTCATTCAATTATTTTTTGACTATTATTAAACTTACAAAATCTAAAATTTTATAAAAAAAAATTTAAAATAAAAGTAACAAATTTCCTAAAAAATTACCATTTATTGACAAAAAACCCCAGGGCATGAGTATTTCAATCGATTTACAAATCTTTTTTTCTACAGATTACTCGACCATCTCAATCATATTTATCGACTCTATCAATAAAACTTAAATCTTATTGCAAAGGCAAGAATTTTACCTACATCATCAACCCTAATACAAAACCTTTCGTTGGATCAAGTATTATCTTTTAAAACTTCAATTCAATCACCATTTTTTCAGTCATAATTAGTTATTCAATAATAATTAATTATATAAAATTAATCAATTTTATAACAATCTTTTTTGATATTATTTTAAAAATGACACTCAGGAAGCTTCACTAATATCAAAGGCGTCATGCCGAATAATGAGAACAGTACAACCATTCAAAACACTTCCAACTTTGCTAACATTACCAGTTCAACAAATATTAATATATCGTACGCTACTCTGGCTACAGAATTGATGACAAAGACTGCTGCAATTGTAGCAGCAACTGTTTCTACTTCTGTTGCTACTACTACTACACTCACTTATACTACCACTACTACCATCAGTACTACAACCACTACTACTTCTACTACTACCACTGCTGCTGCTACTACTACTACTACTACTACTAATACTACTACTAATAATAATACTACTACTTGTAGTAGTATTATTAGTACTACAGATACTTCTACAACTAAAACTACTACTACTATTAACGCTACCTCTACTACTAATACTACTACTACTTTTACTACTACTACTGCTACTACTACTACTACTACAACTAATACAACTGCCGCTGCTTCTGCTACTACTAGAATGTTTGAGGTAGACATCGGCAAATACAACTGCGGCAAATACAACCCATGCATCTTACGTTATTTCCTACTGCGTGGTCAGAGATTTTTTGCATACGACGGAGACCCCCATCAGTTTGTTTCATGCGATCGTCGAAAGAAGAAACAATGCCTCGTAGAAACTTGTCCCTTTGGAACTGTCTGGAGTTCGACAGATTACTTCTGCGTCCGTGAATGAACGATTTAAAAAATTTTTAAAATGCCCTCCTAAAAATGCCCTTTGTCATTACGCGTGCGCTGTTTATCATTAATTTAATTTCAAATTTAATTTGTCATGCGATAGCCTATAGAGAAATGTTCTACTGTATAACATAAATCAGCAGTTTCAAACGATGTTAACATTCCTATATGTTGTTCATGAGCAAAACTACATTATTTAATTGATTTGATTGCATCTCGTTCATTTGTGAAGCAATTGACTTGATTTACGTGAAGGTAGAACGACGAACAAAAGAACAATTACTCATTTATAATTTTATTTAAAAACAGCAGAAAAAATTTATAAATACCAACGACTCTTCACGAACTTTTTTTTGTTTTCTATTGTGGCAGGCTATGCTCGACACAGGCTTTTAAAGTGTGGAGATCTGACCAAGTGTATTATTCATGTGAAACAAATTTTCATTGAAAGTAAAAAAAATTTTAACCAATAAGTGATGACAACTTTTTATAAAATAACTATTTTGGTGTGATTTTTAACTTCAATCATTCGGTTGAAACCATCTTGAATCTTTACAATTAATGATTTTCAATTTTTAGTCCGGTTCGACCATGGTGGATTAGGGGAATGCGGGGATGTATTCGTCCCCCGCCAGACCATGAAAAAAAATTTTTAATTCTGTGTAAATTATAGTTATTAAGTAAACGGAAATTTGCAAAGAAAATTATCCTCCATAACCAAAACACGGTATTAAACGGGAGTTTACAACAATCAGCCAAAAAAGTTCAAATGATTTTCAAATTAGAATCATCCCCATTGAAAAATTCTGGACCCGAGAATGTTTTAAAAATAAATTAGTGTGAAAACGAACATGAATGTTTGTCTCAACAAAGATGTGCTTAACATCAAATTTTAAAATTTTCAATTTTTTTAACCGCAACAAAATACATAGGCCTTAGCAAATAAACTTTTTCTTGCCGTGTTTGCGTTAGTTTTTACATATGATGGTGTTGTAATGTTTACATTTGCTTTTTTTTCGTTTATTTTTTCAAAACAACCGAACATTTATATTTAGAAAAAAATGTGTTGCTCGGAAACTTCAAAAGTCTTAGTCGATAGTATGACCACACTTTTGCAAACGGTTGAGCGTCGTTATACTGCTATTTGAGTTTAAACAACTTCTACGTTTGAGTAACTGCTCTAGTTGGGTTGTTGCACATACGATGGCTACCAAAAATGCTGAATTTTATAAAGTTTATTTAAGTTGATAATGATATAGAAATATAATAGTCCAAGATGATTTATTTGAGAAATATTACAATTTTCATTTTTTTTATTTTTGATTATAGCTGTTCTTATGGCAACAACTGGCGATTGTTTCAGGCCGGTTTATATCAGCACTGGAAAGTAGGCATGTGGAATGGATGCTCCAAGAGCAGATAATGACGTCATTAATGCCGCCATCTTGTTTCTTCTCGACGATGATGATAATTTAAGTTTAGTTAACAGTACCAACGGTTCTATCATTACGATACCATCCTAAACAACGCAAGATGTGGAAATTAGACTGGGGGAAATTTTTACAATTTTTTCCAAAAATTCTGTTATCACTAATATGATTTACCAAAATCTGATAAAAAATAACATTAACATCAATCAAAGCAACATCAATGACATCAAACTCGCAACAACATTATCTTCAACAACACTTAGACATAGGTACGGTCTAGAAGTCTCGTCAATTCTTCAATTGGAAGCATGGCAATACAACTGTAAGAGCAAGATATTTATTCGGACTCTAGCATTCTGTGCATGGGTCTGTCAATCAATGAGGAATCAATGAGGCTTTGACGTCATCGTTCGTTGGAACACCACTACTAATCAAAATGGTACTGTTGGCAACCAGGAAAATAATTCTGCAGTAATTGAAGGTGCCAGTGGATGTCTGTGGTGGCCAAGTGGTAGATCAAATCATTCCTCCTATTGTAATGGATCTAGTTCGTGTCATTACTACGAAGTATGCTCCAAATTTTCTCTCTACTTATTTTGCCTCAATTTTTTTTAATGTTTTTTGAATATTTTATCATTTTCAACAATGTTCTGTCAATGTTTTTTAAACATTTAATTTAGAAAATAATTTGAGTAGAATATTTGAGCAGACAAGAAGAAATAATATATAACACACTGAATACTTATTTTGATTTAATTTTTAAAAGTGAATCAACGATTTTTTTATAACATAATGGCTAGATAACTTCTAAGTTATTTAGAATCAGTAATCCGCAAATTAAAACAACGCAATTCATAAAAAAAACTATTGTAGGTAGTTATTTAGTAAGTGCTGCAGTACAATTTGTGTGGTAACAACTCAATTCTGCTAAAACTATTAATACTACTAAAATAATAATAATTTAACTACTACCATTCCCACCTCTATTACAACAACAATTAATAGTACAACAACAACAACTACTACTTAGTAAAGTAGTAGTAGTAGTAGTAGCAGTAGTAGTAGTAGTAGTGGTAGTAGCAGTAGTGGTAGTAGTAATAGTAGTAGTAGTAGTAATAGTAGTAGTGGTGGTTGTGGTAGTAGTGGTAGTAGTAGAAGTAGTGTTTACGTTTACAGTGTTATTATTGTCTTAGGATTATTATGAATAATATTTATAATTATGATTTGCACTCAAAGCCATGACTATGTTATTATATTATTGTTATTATTGTTGTTGTTGTAGCATTGTAGAATATCTGAATAATTCACATTATAAGTTTTATTATTTTAACTTTATAATTACAATGTAGGTTTTAAAATGGAAATAAAAGTATGTTCTCGTTATTATTATTATATTATTATTATTATTATTATTATATTATTATTACTATTATTATTATTATATTATTATTATTATTATTATTATTGGGTTTTACGGCTATCAGAGCCTCAGGCAGCAAATTTCAACACTAACGATAATATAGCTTAACACTAACAAAAATACTTGTTACGTTAATTAATAAATAAATAATAATAATAATTATAATAATAATAATAATAACAAACATTAGCAACAATAAAAACATTAATAACATTATTAATATTATTAATTATAAACATATACAAAGTTTACAAAACAATATACATCTGTATAAAACTATATTTTACATACACGTCAAATGAGATTCAGTCAACCGTAAACGGGCAATGTTGTATATAATGTTCATACATCATCGAAAACCCATCTAATACATCCAGTCTTCCTTGTTTTGTTGGCTAAGGATTTCCTAAGGTTTGAGTCACATTTTTCATTTGTTATTTTGTATATATTATCATTTATTTATTTGCTTACTTATTTGTATATTTATTTATTTGACTATTTGACTTGATATAAATTTTCAAAAAGTTTGTGCTTAAGTTTGTCGTTTTTTTGTGGTTCACTAAATATAATTTAGTGTTTTATTGTAAGTTTTTGTTGATTATAAGTTGTTTAAATTTTTTTTTAATTGATATTTTTACCAATATATTATTATTAAATTATATTATTATTATTTTATTATACTGATATCGTAAAAAAGCAGTATCCAAAGAATGAACAGCCTGAAGCTATTTTTGTTCTTTGGACTTTTTGCAGCTGTGATCTGCAAGTACGAAGGTGAGACAATATTTGAAATAATAAATCTTTTCACACGTGCACGGAAAATTGATTTTTAAAATTGCTCAATTTTTCACAATTATTATTATTTGATTTTATTATTATTATTTGGTTTTATTATTATTATTATTATTTATATTATTTCTCAAGGTGAGAATAATAGCAAAATGAATAATAATAATAATAACAAAAGAGGTAATGATCATGATAGTAAAGATGATGATGACGATGATGATGGTGGCCATGAAGATGACCACAACCACAAAAACAATAACAATAATAATTATAATAAAATTATTAAAACCACAACTCGAAAAATCTTCGTGAAAACCACCACTACAAAACCAAAGAACGTCGTCACTACAAAAACAACTACCGTTAATAAAATAAGCTCAACCACGAAAGCCACTACCACCAAAAAAGCGACAACCTCCACCACGGCGACCACACCAGCTACTCCTGGATACAACTGCGAAGACAAAAACCCCTGCACACCCGAAAACGCTCTCCAAAACAAATTTCACTTTTCACTTGAAAATGACAAAACTAAATTTGTCCAATGTTCCCAGTGGGGTCAGTGTTTTGTGATGCCTTGTTCTCCAGACCTTGTTTGGAATGAGGCTTTTTCGACATGCACCTTGCCTGCAAACTAATTTATATGATGATCACAAATGAAGACAATTCATTTAATGAATTTAACTTTGACACTGCTTGAATTAAGACGGTGAAATCACGTTTAATATGCAAACGACTTATTTATTTATTGTTATAAATAATATTATTTATTTATTGTTATTACATTTAGATTTAGCGTGCAATCGAGTTAGTTGTTATTAATTATTTTCAACATTAAAAGAATTTACAAGTTAGATAAAAAGCTTAACCATAATAATGACGTAATTAATTATAATTAATTATGTAATTATGTTTTTATAACTTTTTAATGTTTGAAATATTCAAAAAGTACCATAATTGTTATTTTGTCCTTTGCAGAAGAACATTGGTTATTTTTATGAAAAAAAGTGTGACCGCACCTTTAGTTTTTTAAATTATTCCAGAAGATTAAAACAACATTTTCTTTCAGGAGTTGTAATTTTATTTTAAAAATATCAAATGAAAATGTAATTCCTACTAGCAACTGTTAGTTTTAAGGATTGACGCGTAGACCACTCGATGTTAGAAATATATAGAAAATAGAAGAAATATGTTTTTAAACTCATTTTTTAAAAATGCTTACTGAAAGTTTCAAGAAAAATATCTCATATAGCCAAATCAAATTCCATAATTTAATTTTTGTTCACTTCTTAATGTAAAATTAACAAAATAATTAATATAATATAATATGAAACAACTTAATTCCGACGGATATAGCCGAAACTGAGTTGTAAAATTGGATTAAAACTACAAAATTTTTTTGCGTTGTCTCGATTTTGTTGAAATGATGACGTATTAGAAGGATATTATTTATTATTTTTGTTAGAAGTTGTATAAAACTTGATAAAAGACACGCGTTGAATTTTTAATTTGTTTAAAAAAATTGCCATTAAAAATTTACGGCCAGCTTCTTCGAGATGTTGGCATCCGTATTGAATGAACTTTGAACTTTTCAACTCTGCTGATAGGTTCTGCTGTCTCTATATAAGCGTGATGAATCGCAAACACGAAAAATTTGAAAATCTTTTTAATCACATCATACGTTAAAAATTTTATATTCGAGTGCTTTTTTTATAATTTTTTCAAGTATTAAATACTTTCATGATATTATGAAAAGAAACCATAAACTGAAATAACTTTTATTCGCATCATGGACCGAACTTGATATAACGGTTCTCAATTAAATCGTAATTTTAAACTAATAAATGGCCGAAGAGAAAATAAAATTAAAAAGAAAATTGGGATTAGCGCATGGTATGGCCATCATCATAGGGCTGGTGGTTGGAGGGGGCATCTACATCACCCCACAGGGGGTCCTCATGCATGCGGGTTCTCCTGGCCTTACATTAATTATTTGGATTATTGGCGGCATTCACAGTTTGTTTGGTGCTCTTTGCTACGCTGAACTCGGAGTTAATTTTCCATCGGCTGGTGCAGAATATGCTTATTTGTCAGAAATGTACAGCCCGTATTTTGGATTCATGCAACTCTCAATTTATCTTCTACTCTTAAGACCTGGTAGTAATTCGTTCAAAGCAGTATTGCTTGGAAGGTACATTTTGAAACCTCTCTATCCAGATTGTCAAGTACCTACCAAAGCTGTATTATGTGTCGCTAGTTTTATGACAAGTACGCATGCTATCTTTAATTCAAGTATATTACTTTTTCAATAATATAAATGAATGCCATTTGATAACTTCACTCAACCCAGTGTCCATGTGTGCTTTAAACTACAGAAGTGTTAAATTTTCAGCAAGAGGTCAGAGCTTCATGACGAGTATTACGATCACCACCTTGTTATGTATAATTGCATCTGGGATATATTTCGTAGTTAAGGGTGAATATTCAAATTTGGATAGTTAATTTTAATCTGTAGTTCAAATTTTTTGGCTTGATTTTGTGTTTTCTTCTATTCAATTCATAAAAACCTGGCAAGGTGATGTTGAAAATTTGAGCGAGCCATTCCATCATTCAGCCACCAGCGTCGGAGATATCGTCATGTCCTTCTACTCGACTGTCTTTGCTTACTCAGGCTGGAATGCACTCAACGTTCTCGTCGAAGAAGTCAAAAATCCAAAAAGGTATGACTGACACTTTTATTTCAGTAAATAAAATTGATCCAAATAAAATAACGATTCAATTTCGTTGCTAAACTTGCGACAGAACGCTTCCAATATCGATCGTAGTGAGCAGTCTGACGTTGACGATTTTGTACACGCTGGTCAACTATTCTTACTTGGTGGTCTTAGGGAAGGAAGGAGTACTCAAGTCGGACGCTGTTGCTGTGGTCAGAAATCTAACAAAACTATTTTTAGAATTTATTTCCGTTAATTGAATTAAAATTGATGTGAACTTACTAATTCAAAACGTAATAAATCATTTAAAGTGTAGTGCAAACAAAATGATTTAACTGTTAAATCTCTGTAGACTACTTAAAAATAGTTTTTTCAGCCTTTCGCTTTTAAAAATTTTAGAAACTTTTCAGAATTAAGCTAAAATATAATTTTAAGTAAAAACATTTAGTGAGAAATTTAACATATGAACTTAGAGCGTGGGGTTGAGAGTATGGACTCCACTGGCCTGGGTCATGTCCCTCTGCATTGCAGTGACAGCATGTGCCAGTTTCAACTCAGGCATCCTTGTGGGATCACGGTGAATATTTTCATTTTCTATATTATATGCTACAATTATGTATCATTTATTTATTTAATTATTACATTTTTTCTATTAAAAATGTAATCAATTGTATCTTTTTTTAAACTATTCAAATGAAAAAATGTTGAACGTATTTATCGCTAAGAGATTTTTTAATTTTCAGCGTTGCATTTGCCGGGGCAAGGGCGGGCCATTTGCCAGAGATGATATCTTACGTCAGCCTTTCCTATTTCACTCCTGTCATTTCTGTTATCGCCCAGGTGTTATTGATATTATTATTAATAGCAAAAGTATTATCAGTAGGAATAGCGGTAGTAGCAGCAGCAGCCGCGGTAGTAGACGCAGCAGCAACAGTAGTAGTGGTAGTAGTAGAAGTAGTAGAACATCGTCAGTAGTATTAGCAACCATGTTGAAAAGTTTATTTTTATGGATCACTATCTTTTTATTTAAACCAAATTTGAACAATTAACTCTGCAATACTTCCAGGGCATACTTATCCTGGTGTTCATTTGGTTTGTCACGTTGGACTCCATAATTAAGAACCTGACATTTTGCTACGCCATCTGCGAGCTCATCGTCATTCTCGGTCTTGTACGTATCAGGCTGAAGGAGAGAAAAAATCTAGATGTTTATAAGGATAAATTGAAGGTTAGTTATAAAATTAAATTTTAGAGACAAAAATTTAAAACATATATGAGATAATTTGTCTAAATTAAGAACCGATTTTAAGTATTTGTTATTAATTATTTTATTTCATTTCATTTCCAGATGCCGTTGTTCGTCCTCCTAATATACGCCGTGTCTCTCACCATCATAACGATAGTACCATTGGTAGCAAATTTTCAGGCGTCTGCTCTGATTTTCGTCATCGTTGTTTTGGTGGCTTCTGCGTTCTATGCCGCGTTTGTACTCTGGCGCCCAGATTTCGTTACTAAAAATAATGCTATTGGTAAGTTTTATGGTTTCAAATATTAAAAAATGTTACTGATAGGTCAATTTTACGTTCAAAATGTAAATAATTTAAAGATGTTTTTCAATAAATTTCAAAACATTTTCAATTTTGACAGACGGGATGAACAACTTTGTCCAGAAATTATTTTTCTGCGCGCCGGGTGGCAAGAACGAATTAACAAATAAAATTTTGGAAGATTGATGGCTTCTCTAAAACTTTCCATGCTACGTTCACTTGTCAATTTTTCATTAAATTAGTTTTAACAATTTTTTAATGATTGGTAGAAAATTATTTAAATCATAATTTTTAGCATTGCTGAGTTGAGTGTCTGGCATGCATGTGTAGTATCAATGTAGTATGAATGACTTCATGTCCGCGTGTCATGTTTCTTATCATATTTCTATTTTCTCAACTTGTTGAATGATGATGGTTACATTTAGAAAACATGTAGTTCGTTCATCCGATATAACAAACATTTCTTAGTGTGTGTATTGTGAAATTGTAAATTTCTTTACGAACATATATAAGATTTACGTCGTAATTTTGCCATACACATGTATATATGTATATTATGTTGGAAGGAGACCATAATTTAGACACTATTGTATGAATTATACTGAATTGTTGGCATTATTCAATTTAAACTTAAATTGATTAATGGCCACAATTCGATAGAAATCATACAATACTGCAGATATATATTAAATTATATAATATCTATTCTGAACATGAAGGAACCGAAATTAGAGGCTAAAAAGTGAATTTGAAATGCAGATAGAAATCTTGACTAGTATTTTTATAAATTGTTTAATTTTTCTCGTAAATTATTTACTTGCTGCTAGACGACGAACGCCGTTATATAACTTTTGACTGGTTGGTTGGTTCTACAGTATTGTTTTTTTATGAAAACGTATTAATTAATTACTAATTAATTTATGAAATCTTACTAATTAGTTTTATACATTGACTCTAGTTACTTTATGCATATTTATAAAATAAATTCGTTATATCAATAACAGTGATTATTGGCACATATACGCGTAAACAGTTCAAGTTGTTTTGAAAGAATTCAAAATAATTTAAGACCGCATCTTACTTAACATCCACCATATACTTAAAATTCCACTGAGTAAATTTAAATGTATAAATATAAAATATAAATGCATATGTCGTTGAAATTAAATACCCATTGTGCGTTCGAAAGTTTTTAAACATAAGATTCTACGCGAATTAATTGTCTTATACTCAAATTTATTCAAATTATACATGAATTCTAGTCGAATATAAAAATATAAATATATATGATAACCACATATATATTGATTTATTTAGATAGCTTTGTGAGTATATAATATTTTATTAAATTACCTATTATTTTTTGTTACAATAATAATTTAAAAAATTATTATCCAAACCATATAATTAGAATAAATATAACGGCCTTCGCTCATTTTTGACGGTCGAACAAGGAGCTTACTTCCGGAGGGAAATTGGAGGATGATTTTTTATCGCCCAAGTCAAAAGTTACGATCGTATATTTACTAATTTCGGAAAATTGCTTTTATTTAAAATTTCAAAATGTTTTAAAAGGTACTAGATGCTGTTTTAGGATAGATATTGCTGTATGACGGTTAAGTATCTTTTTGCATTTTAAATAAAAAAATTTTTTTGTGAACCACCAACAACACTTATGACTTAATTAACTCATTAACTGTAACAACACTAAACGACGACTAATTAGTAATTAAATTACTAAACTCTTATAATTAAGCTAAAACTAAACTCTACTGATTCTAATTACTAATTGAAATAAATAACAGATAACACTAACGAACATTAACAGATTAGACTACTAGAAACTACCAACCACTACAGTTAACAACCTAACAGCACTTGTTCCTAAGATCCTATTCTATTGCTTGATTGGTTTTAAAATTTTTATTTACAATGCTTAGGTCTGGGAATAAAAAATATACTAAATTAAATAAATGTATTAAAGAACTTATCAATCAATTTTATAAAATAAACAATTTTGTAATTTGTTCAATTGAAGCTTCAAACTCCCCAAGCTAACTTGCAATTTAATTGAAATTTATTAATTATGAGTGATTCAAACTAAATTTTTTTTCATTTAATGTTTTACAAAATATTCCTCATTCTTAAATTGTAGTACATGTTGTTATTAAATTTATTAAAGATAATGTGTGATTCCAGTGATTCATCAATCCATGACTTGTTAGATCATGATCATTCAATTTTAAAGAATCCCCATCACCATAACCAATGAGGTTTGTAAAAATTGTACTTTTAATTTATTATATTTTATGCACTTAGAATGTTGTGTTATTAATTATTAATACCTCGGGAAACCGGTTCTCTGGACGCAAAACGAAGATTGATTGATTAATTATTATCATTAATTTATTAAATGCTGTGCATACCTATGGCAAGTAAATAAAATTATTAAGCATAGAAATAGCCACAATCAAATTAATTTATATAGGCATGAGTATAATTTGGATAATAATAATAAAAAATATCGGTATCATTTAAAATGGATAAAGTCATAAATAAAAAAATAAATCATAAATTGCTAAAAATAATAGTTCCAGTAAGATTTTGCCTTACACCTACATCTTTTTTCATTCTTATATTATAATAAATGTTTGTTATCAAATATATCAAGGATTGATTTCTCAATGCATGACTAGATTGAATGTCATGATCCTACAGTTCCAGAGGATCCCCATCACCATTAGTCAATAAGGTTTGTAGAAATCACCCCAGGCATACCATCAATGTTTTGTAGCCACCTTTTAATGTAGTGTTAATGAAATGACATTGAGAATAGTTATTTGAAACAATCTTATTAAAATTATTGAACAGGTATGACAAGATTACTTTCTTAATGTCCTAGTGTGAGGAAGATGTAAGCCATTTGTCCAAAGATAATCATATGCTTTATGCCTATGCAAATGCAGTGTCAACGCGAATGATTTTTGATCAGAGTCATATGTTCTAATTTTTTTAAACTTTTCCAGAAATTTTTTTGTTAATTTATTTGTTACATTAAATACTTGATGCGTATTTCATATAAAAACTTGATTATGCCAATTTAGTTAACTTGTTAAGCATTAATATAAAATTGACTCTACTTGTAATGGTGATTGGTATGATGATGATGATGATCCCAGTCCTAAGCAGGGTTTATTATTCACAATGTCATTATGCCCTTTCTAAGTTTTAATAAAATACATGGGATATTGTTGAATGCATTTTATATTTTTTGTATAGATAAGAATGTTGCAATGTACAATGATGATGTGAATTGCTTCCTTGTGTAACTGATGACATATAAATATAACTAACTTGAAAACATGGGAATGCTTTCTTCAGCATTACCTTCCTTTCTCCATCATAACCCTTATAATCTTTGTTACAGAAATGGTCACTGCATATTCTTGCATTTTTTGATGGAAGCCATTTGAAATCATTTATTTCCTGTCTGATGCACTTAATCCAATCGTTTTGCATTTTTACATTTTGAGGAAATCTGAAATTTTATAAACTGTTACAGAAACTTGTGCATTTCTTAAGTATTGCTTTTAATAATAAAATGGTAATCCATGATAGCATTATAAATTATAATAGTCTATAAAATAAAATATATGTAATTGTAAAACAAAATAGTTCTATTCAATGAGTATAGGGATATTGTTACATTTATTTTAGTGTGAAGTTAATTTGAAAATAAACCTGTGAAAAGATGCATCAGAAATTTTCTCATTTCTATTATTAATGCAATTTTTAATGCAACAGGTAGGCATGTTTGTGTATAGCTACGAAAATGAAAATTTACTTAAAAACTAAATTATTGTATCTGACACGAAAATTAGTACAGAAACAAAAACGAAAGAATAAATGACAATATAAAAATTTAAACATTGATTAAAAGAGTTTATTCTAATTATATGGTATGGGCAATTCGTTGCGAAATCGTTGGAGGAAGTGGTGTCAACAGTAGTTATTTTACTGCATGGTAGTTAATCAGCCGGTATAAAAGTTATATTCAATTCCTATCAAATAAATTTGACAAAATATCATACACAGGCAGAACTAAATAAAGAAATAGATAGATATATACACGTAGTTATAATACATTTATAATATTGTATTTACACATTCAAATTGTACAATTGTGTTATGGTGTAGTCTCAAATTATTTTGAATTCAGAAAATTTTAAACGTTTTACTACACTATATATACTAGTTATTTTTATCTGCAATTTAAAAATTTTATCAATAATTAAAAAAAAATTTCAAATTGATTTCATTGCGATATCGATAATGATTTTTGTGACCTGACTGATTAAAAAGCATCAAAGAAAGTTAAAATAGGATGGAGAATTTGTTATATTGGGATATTCGTTTAAAAAGCAAGCAAAATTTTAATATAATAGCGCTTATAAATCTATGCATATTGGCTCAGCTTGGCTTGGCTCTGCTTGGCTTGGCTCGGCTTGGAATCGGATGTTAAGCAAGGTGTGGTCTCAAACTATTTTGAATACTCCCCAAAAAATTTGAACTGCGTGCGTACATATATAGCAATGATTACTGTTGTTTTTATAATGAATTTATAAAATATATAAATATAGCGAGCAAAATTTTAGCATAAAAGCGCTTATAAATCTATGCATATTGGCTCAGCTTGGCTTGGCTCGGCTCGGCTTGGAATTGGATGTTAAGCAAGGTGTAGTCTCAAACAATTTTGAATTCTCCCCGAAAAATTTGAACTGCGTGCTTACATATATAGCACTGATTACTGTTGCTTTTATAATGAATTTTTATTATATATATATATAAAGTGACTGGAATCGATTTATACAAATAATTAAATTATATTATATTAGATTATATGTTTATATGAAAAGCAATATAGCAGATTCAACCAGCCAACCAGAAAGTTTCGAAGGCGTTCGTTCGATGACTTCAATTTAGTACGGTTAGCATTGTGGTTAAGACTGTATAATAGTGCAGTATATACATTAAACAAGTTTTTTACTGATGCGAATGATTGAAATGATGAGAATGTATGGTTGAAACGAGTATAAATAGAGGAGCTGAGACAACATGAAAATCAGATCAGGCATTCTGCCTCGCTTGAAGCAGTCTGCCTGATCTCATTTATTTTAATTTTAAAATTTTTTTATTTTTATTTATTTTATTATATAGAGTTATATAGAGTTATATAGAGTTTGCATGTTTGTAGGTGGTTTGAATGTTTGTAGGGGGTATTTTTTTAATTTTAGGTGGGTTCTTTAACGGTTGCTCATACATACATCATGTTTGTTTGTGTGGTAGTATTTTATGTTCTGTTTTACTTCTTTTTCTCTTTCTTCATGAGTCTAGAGTTAAGTTAATGAAGCATAGGTAGGTGAGGTAAAAATTAATTTACTATATAGGTAGGCTAGGGCATAAGGTAATTTAGTTACATAGGTAGGTTAGGGAATCCTATTCTTTTACTCTACTTGGTGGTGTGATTTTTGTTTTGTGTTTTTTTTTTTTGTTTCACATCATACATTCAGCAGGTACGCGGTGGTTCCTGGTTTTAGTGGGATTTTTATTGATTGAATGTGGTAGTATGCATGGTTATATAGAGTTATATAGAGTTATATAGAGTTATATAGAGTTATATAGAGTTATATAGAGTTATATAGAGTTATATAGAGTTATATAGAGTTATATAGAGTTATATAGAGTTATATAGAGTTATATAGAGTTATATAGAGTTATATAGAGATATATAGAGTTATATAGAGTTATATAGAGTTATATAGAGTTATATAGAGTTATATAGAGTTATATAGAGTTATATAGAGTTATATAGAGTTATATAGAGTTATATAGAGTTATATAGAGTTATATAGAGTTATATAGAGCATAAATCCTATATAGATACCGTTCTTT